TGCTTCTCGGAGAGTCGAAGGTATATTTTCATCGCCGTGTGTGCACAAACAAGACGTTCATCATACATTCGAGATCTTCAACCATATGTAACCGAAACTAGTTCCACTGTTGAGGGAAAAACTAGGTGCCAGGCAAATATAGATTACATACAGATTGTTTTGTTTAGAATAGTGGATTAATATTTTATATTTTAATCAGCCTGAAGGAAATATTAGCAGAGAAAAAGAAAAGTGGAGATTAAACTATTTATGGGTTTATTGTTAAAAAATAGTCCTTTTTGAGAAATAGAAATTTATTGTATACAAATCTTTTAAGCCTGAACTAAGAATTGTTTAATGCATATAGATTTATGTGTTCCTTACTATCTGCATACAAATGTATACATACAGCATTGCACTTACATACAGCATTGCACTTACATACAATTTATAGTATTTATAAAGTATAATTTAGTTTTTGAAAAGTTCATAGCTGATATAGTAATTAAAACCTAACTTAACTTGTTCAGATACATGCATATAAGTAAAACTAAACATGAATTCAATTTTAACGTTGATTTAATTCTAAATCAAAATTTTGTAAAATCTCAAAAGTGTATAAAAAACAATCTTCTTCAGTTGTAAGGGTGCAGCCATCTCGTGGAATCTATCGCTAACTCGGACGACCGACACGTAGCTCGTTTCTTATTAAAATCGATGTATTAATAAGTAAGAATATTATTTACCAACGAACAGGGTAAATAAAAAGTTTCTGTTAAGTTTTCAATAGATCGCGGATACGATCCCTCGGAATATTCTACGATTTTTAGGGAATTTAACAGCTGCTGCCATCTAGCGAGACTTGCTGTGTAGTGAAATCATGTGAGCACTGCAGTTGCATACTCGCAGGCGCTCTCAAGCATCCTCCATTCGATAACGTTATCACATTCTCCGTTATCAACGAAAGGTGGCATTACCGATTCGAACAATAAAGTAACATTTATCGTTATCGCAACCGTTTAATATGCAACAGTCGCTGAAACTGTATCTATGACGTTATCGCAAGGATATCAACATCCTGTACAGTTTAAATGACAAGCCTTGTTGTTTTAAAGGTAATCTGGATTTATCACGGACACGTATTCTTATCATAAACGTCGCTGCGCATCCTTCACAGTTAATTGTAATATTTATATATAACTGTAATATTATATATATTATAATTCCATGATGAAAACCATGTAATTAATTGCTCGAAGTGAGGTAGATAAACATAAAATATTATTTATGATTCAGGGATTTCCTGTATCACCTCTCTTGAGTTTTTAATTAACTTTTTCAAGCCCAGATCGCTGGAGGGTCGTTTGCTGTCCTTTTTCGAACTACCGGCTTCGAGTTTCAAACTTCAAACCTTCAACATCCAATTATCTTGTTACTTCCAATCTTTTTTCAATGGAAGCGAACATTTAGGAGATTTGAATAAATTCTTATTATGAACCACGATTACCATCAATGTTACAAGTAATATAATAATATATTTTTTTCAGAAAGAAAATCAAGGTTTACGTACAAACAAGTTTTATCTAAATAAACAAAAATGAGCATAACAATCGTTAATACCCCTTTCCTTAAAAATTCTTTGAAGGATATTAATTACTGATAAAGTTGTAACAGTGTTTTCCAATGTAACACGATTGCAAGAGAAGATACGAAATTGCTTTGAAGCCAATGTGTTAATACTGGCAAAGTCCTGCAACAGCCTTATCAACTTTTTTTAACGGCACCTAAGAAACGAGTAATCCGAAAATGATCCCTTTATTGCTACTCTATCTCATCGTTACCTCAACTAGTAGCGTAACTTCTATCTTAATCATCGCTGTATCGATACAATTCTACAGTTAAACAAAATAAAAAATTGAGTACTTCACTTCGGGGAAAAAGACTTGGGTGTTATATAAATAAAAATTCGTTAGTATTAAACTATGTAATGTACATATTAGTGTTGAAGCTTCATCGGTAAATAAGCTTCCAGCTTCCAACCTTCACAGCCTTGGGATTGACTGGGAAAGGATCACCATTACTGTCTACATTTTCAGATTTAAGTTCAAACAAAACAGAAATATTTACTTTGTGCACAAGCAACCCGTAGATCGGTTACATTTATGAAAAGTAAGAAACTCACACAACGTCCTATCTTTTCGTGACAGAGTACAAACGATCCAAGAATACAATCTGCAGAGTTCTAAAAATGTTCAGAATTTTCAAGGTTTAAAGTAGACATCCAATAGGAGGTGAATCCTTACTTTGAATGCCATTTTCATCCCTAAAGGCACGAACGGTGACGCAACATGTTGTCAAGGGGGTGTTGGGGGCTGAAAATAAAATTCAAGTAGAATCGAATCGGATTAACATCGACTCGAATCGCTTTCAGCCGAGATACCATTCACTTCGACGTTTCACATTCTTTTCCCGTCGTCGGCTGTCGCTAATAATCCTGATTCACGAGCCTGCGCTGTCAATAACTACCTAAGCTTTGGAAATTCGCCGCTGTAAATCGCGGTTATCGAACGACAGCGTCCCGACGCCTGCAATCGTCCGCGGTGCAATGCGCGCGTTATATCGAGGACGACAGCGATTTGATTACGTGCGAACAACCGACGAATCAGGCCACCGAAAAGATAAAATTACAGTTCCCGTCTCCGGTGTTCCGTATCGTTGAAACTTAAGCGACAATCGATGGCATGGAACAGGACAGGACACGCGTAATCATTGGTAACGATTTCCCACAACAAACCAGCCTTAAGTGAGGAAAGGACTGTGTTTAATAATTCCGTTTCCGAAAACAATTAATTACTGGCGTTTGCCATACGAATGAGTTTTCAAACAAAAAAGCGATATTGGAGCAATTACACGACAGGTCTCTTTCGAAAGACGCTGTTATCGGCGTAATTCTCAGTCAAAATCAAGTATTTTTATTTTTTTACATGATATATACCGTTTAAGTACATACGGATTTTTCGAAATATCAACTCTTGTAATTGGCACAAAATTTATAGACAAAAATGTCTGTAGCAAGAAATGTTTTTATTTTAAGAAATGCACCTGAGAAATACAAAACCTTGACGAAGGAAAGTGCTGTAAAATTGTAATCGATAGTAATGTTTCCTCTCGTTAAAACTAGCCAAGAAAACAACATTGTAAACACTGAGAGACCGGCTAGAACCCGATTAATTAGCGAAATGGGCCGCAGCCTTCGAACCAACATATATCATGGAATACCAGTTAGCTTTGTCTAGACCATAGTAACAACAATAGCCAACAGCTTACCGCAGTCGACGCCTCAGCTGTTAAATCGTGTCTCACACCACGTTGGAAGCCATTCGGAGCGTACCTAAATCATCGCCACTTATCATTATTACTTCAGGACCGGAATAACATAGAGAAATCCTCGATGGCGAGAAAAATACTGAACTACCACCATGTCTGAATCAATTAGAGGTTCAAGGTCGCAGAAGGTTCATCCATCATATTCTTCACTTACGTCTCACCTTCCAATTTAATTCCATTTCTCGTCTATACTCACCGATTCAACCTTTTCAATCTTCAATCGTTCGGTGATAAGGAAAGCGTCCATCCCGAATCAATTTCACAGTTTGTTTTACCAAAATTAACTTTTAAATATATTTAAAGATTAGATTAAGATGTAGAAAAAATAAAAATCTTGCAGAATTCTCATTAATATTATTATCTGATTTTACGTGTACTCGAGCCCACCAGTTGGAGATTCCAAGCACTCTCTGTCTCTCACACAATGGAAATATAGGTCTCGTGAATCGTAATAAAGGAACTGACCTTCGGTAACAGAAGTTTCTCTCTCGATTATGTGTAATCGCGTTCATTGGCTGTTTGCTACCCGATATTTAGTATTCAGTGCACAACTTTCCAACACAGACGGAGATCGACAGTCAGAGGTCTACACACTTGGTTATTTTATGCATTTGGCGTGAACATGGGCATCTTAACACTTTCCTAGACGAATGAGGCTAAATACGTTCATGGATCCCATTGGGGAAGGTCCAAACATGTAAATGAGACACTATATATTATGGTCGATGAGGTTTCAGAGTTTTATTCTAAGATAATTCTGATATTCTAATTTCGTTCATAGATCCTGATGATAAGAATCACGTAGTGGTTAAAATATATAAATACAAGAAAATATGCCGGAGGCCATAAGGTTCCAGTACTAGTAATCTAAAGTTAACCCTTTGCACTCGAGGCCTTTCTTTCTGGTATCTACCAGCAACTCGAGATGTTTCTTAGCATTCTATTACCATGAATTCTAAGCTAATTAGATTTGAGAATAAGGTCACCTTTACCGCACCGACGATTATTTTATCGACACTTTGAGCTCCACAAACATTAAATCTAAAGAAACATTAAGTATCGTAGATTTCCTGCGTGAAACCTAATGGTGACAGAGAGTCACCTTTCGACTGCAAAGGGTTAAATAGACCTCAAAGGCCAAGATTAAAGTATATTATATAACAAGTACATATGCTACAGTTTTTCGAGTCCCACATTGTTACTCCAAGTTTATGTATACTGGCAATTTGCAACGTCCAGAGTCAAAATATATATATGAACACAAGAAAATATGCTGGAGGCTCCGAGACCTCGGTACTGATACTCCAAGGTTAAATACATCCACGGATCCCAATATAATCACAAGTAAATATCCGGCAGTCCGTCGAGTCCCATACTGTTACTCCAAGTTTATGTACATTGACAACTTCCGATGGCCAGGGTCAAAACATATAAACACTAGATAAGCTGGAGGCCATTGGACGCTGTAGTCGTACTCCGAGGCTAAACACGATCGCAGCTCTCCTTGGCTGGTGTCACTTCGAGTGTTTTCCTTATCAGCACGTCATGAGCGTAATTATGCCAGAACGAAGGAAAAGGTCGCGATACCGGGTATGCACCGTGCTCATCGAAGGAGGTGGGAGCACCTGCCACTTCCATCACGTCAGGGATGTGCGCGATGTGTGAGTCAGTGTCCGACGCACCATTGTACGATCCATCGAGCGGCGTCGATCTCTGGATCGTTGGTAAAGGGGCCCAAGTGCAATTGTCGTCGACTGTGATTGTCGCGTGTTCGTTATGGTGTGGCACGAGGTAGGTTATCAAGACACTATATGCATTGAGAGCGGCGACTGCGCCACTGGATACGAATAAATTAAGCTCAATCGTCGTCCTTGTGGATCTGATTGCATAATAGCAAAGGGTGCCGCTGATCGAGTGATCCTTCCTCGGGGAACAGTGCGTTTGTCTTCTTCCGGATCGACGTTTCGATTGAGATTGCCGAGAGGGGAGTGCTGGGGATTTTAATGTATCACTGTCATTCTTCAATAACGCTTCGCATTGGAGCTGGAATTGTTGATATGTTTCATAGAGAAGCTGTAGAGATTGAATATTATTCCTCTTAGGAAAGGTGTCACGTTTGATTTTTATTGAAGACACGAAGAATTAGTGATTTTCATGTACGATCGTTCATGGTTGATTCGCTTTCCTTTGGAACGATTCAATATTCTTCTCATTGGGAGAAATAATTTGTGAATTGTTCAAGTGTTCTTCTTTATATCGACACATTTATTGTAATCATATGACAGAATTGCAGATGGAATTCTTGATATGTGTCATAGAGAATCTGTAGAAGTTGAATATTATTCTTCTTAGTGAAAATAGTTAAAAAAGTTGTCACCTATTTCCGAAAATTGAGCACCCCAAGTAGACAACCAACAATACGGTTAATAAATTCCATCAGATAAACGCTAGAATTAAAAGCCTATAAATGGGCTCTCTAAATTCCGTTTATCTTTTATTTGTCGAAATTCGTGTCTAGATAAGAATTGTAGTGCGTTTGTCTTCGCTTTCAACGTAAAGCTAAGAAAACGCAGTGAATTATTTAATACGCTATGCACATTAAACAAATTACACATGTCAAGTTCACGTCCATCGCAATCGACGCAAACTTTCTTCAATCTCGTTGGTAAAATCAGGTTTGCGTAGAATCTGTTCGATCCCACGGGCAATTTCCTAACTAAACGAACCACAATTTCCTCGCGGTAATCAAATTCTCTATCTCCTCGCTGTAAATTCGTCACCCGTTAAACCACGTTTACTCCTAGCGCGCGTGCTGCAATAACAGAAGGAACGAAGCAAAACATCGACGTTAAAATTCATATACTATACGAGTGAAGATAATCATCGATCCCGGTCAGATTCTCCCTTTTTCTCACCGATCGACTTCCTCCGTCGGCGGTGTTCCGTTTTGTCAGAGAGGCAGGAGGAGGGGAAGTCAGTTTTCCTTTGACGTATCGATTCGATAACTTTTCACGAGCCTCTTTCGTTTCATCGAATGGAAAAGTTTCGAAGGGCCGAACCGTCCAGATTTATCGTCGACGATGCACTCGTCCCTGGCAGCGTTGATCCTCGAGGAAAACTCGCGGAGACGAGGCGGCCTGGCGCGAGGAGGATCGCGAAAATACGACGCGACGGAGAGAAAAAGCCCTGGTAAATCCAGAAGGGTGGGTTGTAATTGTTCGACGTCGATGGGAACGGCTTTCATTGGCTCGTTCGATCACTAATCATCTCATATAACGATGTTGTTTTGGGAAACGTTTGTTAGATATGCTGGATGAATCTGTTTCTATTTTTATTGGACGGCTTCAAGGGGCGTATAAACATGGAAACGTAGGAAACAAGGTTTCTTAAACGAGGAGAAGAAATATTAGTTAGGTATTTTTCATTTTTAGAGTTTGTTTTAAAAATATCTTCAGGATCTATGAATATTATAGTACACGTAATATATCCTATTTCTTTGCCAAATTTCTGTTTTTATGTGGGCAATATATATCGTGCATATAAAATTAAAAGAATGCAAATATTGAGCTATGTTCTCCCACGATAATTTCTTGCTGAAGTATCATAGTGCCTGAGAGTTGCTGCTAAAGTGTTGTTGTAAGAGCTTAACCTCACATCGACGAAATATAGAGATAAAACAAAATTCTTATCTAGAGAAAACTTGGAGTAACGAATAAAAGATAACCAGCCTATGAAAATAGCTTGTTGTTCTATTACATTTGACATTAATATAAATAAAATACACACTCTTCTGTTGCAGAAAATATTTAATGACTATATTTTTTCGTAATAAATATTTCATCCACGACTGTGAAAGTAGTTTTCATCCCCCAAACACAAACATCATACTATCAAAAAGAAATTTTAATTGCTATATATATCAGCAAAGTGACATAAAAATTTGAGATTGTCAATTGGGTGATGCTCTTTGCCAGACTAGTTATGAATATTCGACAATAAGCATGAGCAAATTCAGAGTTTCATCCTCCATGTTCCAAACTGCGAAATCTAGTTGAGCCGTTCGAGCGTTCGTTAACTGGATCAGTTGGATCAGTTGGGGACCTCCGCAGCGTGCATCATTCACGAGACATTTCTGCTGACAAATTCGATTCGACGTTTCTACGACCCGTCTCGGCGTCATTTAAAACATTTAAACCCAAACAGAGAAGTTACTTCTTAACTTTCCTCTGTAACCGAACTTTCCTCTTTCATTAATCGTTCCCGGAATCTCTGATTCATAAATTCCCGCTCCTCCTAACAGTGCAGAGCGAAGAGGTTTCTACTTCACGAGTTGAAGAAGTTTGTTGCGACAACCTCTGACTCTTGACCTTCCCTTCAACGTTCACAAGTCGATTTCTATGATAGGTTGGAAGGGAATTTTTAAATTTTCATAGTTGAATAGTCGGCAAGGGCTGCCTATAAACTTATGTACTGTGTTTCAAAGATTTAAAGTCACATATATAATTTAAGTATCTTTAATTATCTATCTTAATATTCCTGCGAGTATTATAGATAAGGGCCCCAGTGTACCGATTAGCTCGAGGCCCCATGATGCTGTTGAGACGGGCCTGAATTTAACTTGAATATCATCGATGCCCAATTGTATCACTTTTATCTCTTCGAAACAAGTCTTAGTCCCGTCACTATCCACGCGATTTTTTCTCACCTATCCCCTCTCTTCTCTCGTTACACGCGACCTGGTTATCAGTCGGAATGGAGGAAGTCGGGAAATATCAGCAAGTGGGACTTTCTGACTTATTCTGACGGCATCATGGTCGAGACAAATGTCGACGGAAGCTTTTTTGGGGAAAATACACGTTTTAGCGCATCTTCGCTAGGCCTTCATTATTATAAAAACAAATTTATTTTCTGTATATGACACATGATTACTTTTTAGTGATTCTAAATTTGTATTATACATTCTAGTTCAAAGACTGTGGATATAAAAATACGAATTTGCATTAACATCCGCAGTCTAATGATGAACAATTATCTCTTGCACTTCCTTGATTTCTCTAATAAATATCCCTTATTCTAATAATTAATGGAGCCTTAGTTTCTTCATCCTCAGTCACTCTATATCCATCGCCAAATCCATCTTCCTGTAATTTCATTTTATTTCTTCATTTCTTATTAATTTATATTCGCCAAAAAGGTGACATAGAAATATCATCGAGAATGCCTCTCTTTCAGTGTTCACCTTCTTTTTTGCAAAGTACGTTGAAGCAATATAATAGCCTTAATAATAGCCTTGGTTAATGTTTACGGTCACGTTTCACAGGCGACAAAATATTTTCCAGGTACTCCAGCTGCTGGTGCTGCAGGGATTCCTGGCCGTCCTTGTCGCTGGAAAATCCAGTAAGTGTCCGTCTCTCTTTCTTCGGAGATAATCGCGCTTTCCTTAAGCCGCTTACGGTCCAAGCGTCCATGGAACAGTTGGACGTCTTCGGAGGTGGGCAGGCTGATGTCCTTCGACGAATCACGCTGTTTGTCGCGAGATAAGTTTACTTATGCCCGGGGTTAACTCCGATTCTTGTTTATCGATAGATAAGATATCGATAGCTGCGTGTCCCTATCGGTGGTGTTTGAGTTTGAACACAGGGTGCCACTGCTCCAAAATACCGTATCGAGAATTCTCAAAATTATCCACCCTTTTCTTGCGACTGTTGGGTCGATTCATAAATATCTTCTGTTTTGCTGGTTATTATGGTTCTTATCTAAATCATACTTTTGTATAATTAATGTACAGATTTAAGTGAAAATAAATTAATTTTTATATCATTCTATCTAATGAATTGCAAATTGTAGAATGAATTTAGCCATAAAAATTAAAATTTTGAAAAATTCAGATGTAGGGAATCACGGCGATAAATCTATGAATTTCTAATGCAGCTAGTCAGTATAAAATAATGTAAAATTACGTCAGGGGCAGAACCAGCTGTATATTAAAAATTACGTCATTAAAGGATGTCGTAAATTTATGTCAGAGATTACTAGCTGTAGATTTAAAAGTGTCAGCTGCAACCAGTTATAGATTTAAAAATATGATAAAAGTACGTCAGGAGCTAGCAGCATGAAACTAGAAAATTCCATTAAATGACGTCAATGGTCATCTCCACATCCTCCACTGTCTCTCAGTTTTGCCACTTTTCCTGGAAACTTATCCTAGCACTCGAGTTCCCTGCTCCTTCAATATGTCTTCCTTCCTTTCAATTTGTATCGATAGCTTTCACGAATTTCGCGTTTCTTCCTTGTGCAGTTCCGCGAGTGTCCAAAAAGGAGTTCCAGACACGCGGTCCCGTGGAAGAAAATTATCTAAACGGGAAGACAGACCCATTCAGTTTAGAGGAAACCTATGACGCGAGTTTCCGGGCGATCGGCTTCAACGGCACCTGGATAACGGACACGGAGATCCTTTATATCGATGGTTATACTGGTGACATTCGTATATTCAATGTGACGTCAAAGACCAGCAGACTCTTCTTGGACTCGTCAGTCCTGGTAAGGCGCAACTTGCAGTGCCACGTATTGACATTTCTGCTATCTTGGTGTTGGGCATTTGAGAAGACTAGTAGTTTAATATTTGAACACTTTATAAGCATTCGAATGATACAGAGTACATCGAATATTTGCGTATTCGATATTCAAATACTTGTATCTCGATACATTGAGTATTCGAACATCATTGAATTTTTAATTATTTGAATATTTGTCGATTCAATCATTATTCGAATATTTTTGATTGAAATGTTATTTGACGAAAGTTTGAGCAGCTACTCGAGCATCCTTATTCGAATATTTGTGTATTCGAATATCGTTTTACTAAAAAATTGTTACTCGATCGTTAATGTTTCGAATTCAATCGCTTAGCAATTGATAGGTGTAAGTAATGATGGAAACTCAGTCTTATCCCTCTTCTACCGACAAAACTCAGATTATAACTTGCCAAAGCCCTGCTTAATTAGTCGAGTAATACGACTTCAGAAGGGTCTTCCAATTCCTTTGTGCATTAAGCTTTCGAGAAGTTATCCCACGCCGTCGTGGTTTTGAAATAAGATTCAAACGATAACCTGGCCCGTTGGATATTAAATTATGAAAGTTGAATTGTTGAAAATGCGAAACTATGTCAAGCAAACATTCGCAGCTTGGGATCTATGGGCGAGATCTGCCAAAGCTTGAAAAATAAGGTCTGAATAATATCACAAATTATATAAATACGGTATTTCACGAAATTCTTATTTTATTAGATGTAGAATGTTCAGTTAATTAACGTATCGATTGTCAAAGCTTGAAAAATATAGAATGTTCTATTAGATATAGATATTAGATATAGAATGTTCAGTTAATTAACGTCCCAATTGCTTCCAACTGGAAGCCAATAGGTTTACCCTTAATAATTTCGCTTTCAAGTATGTTGTTACCGAACAATCATGTTGTCGGATTCCACCACGTGAAGATTCGACCCTTGATCGATGGTATCGACAAGCTAATGCTACGTTATCGGTCGACACAAACAATCTATCACTTATCGTATCGTAACGCGTCAGATAACCTGGCACGAAATCAATTGTATCAATATTTGACGTTATCCAAATATTGATTCGAGTGTCTCCCGGTAGCTTGATCTTTTTCCGTGTGTTTGTCGTTCTAATACGATCAGCTACCTTTCGCCTTTTTACCAATGAAGTTGAATATAGTCGTTAAGTAGTCACAATTTCTTAAATGTTTTTCAGAGCCCCTACGACAAGCCTACGCTTAGTCTTTCCTACGACAATTCTCACCTCTTGATTGGATACGGTTTCATGCCTGTAAGTCTCTGATACTCTTAATTGATTCATACTACGTTCATTCAAAAGAAAAAATCAAGTTGCAAGTTGGAATAGGATCGATCGGATCGAAACAAGAGATTTCGACTGCTCAAGGTCACCCCCTCCAATTTATTTCACGTCCCGTTAATTATTATTTTCACGATCTCGACGTAATAGAGTTCTATGTTATCTATCCTAGGTACCAACTGGCAATTTGATTATGTAATATTATTTGAATCAATAGAGAAACTTAAGGAAATGTTTTTACCAATTTTCAGGTGTTCAGACATTCAGCCTTCGTGAAGTTCGTCGTTTACAGTATTAAACAAAAGTGAGTGCCTCGATTTCCACGTCAAAATCGTTCTACGGATAACTTTAACGATTCTCTGATAAACTAAATTGCCAAACAATGCCATACTTTTGCGACAATAATGATAAAATCGATATACGTTGCGCTATGTACATACCGTGCTCCGTTTGACAACTTAAAGGGCACAAACTGTGCTTGGATTTTCATGATAAGTTAGATTAGGATCATTGAACGTATGAAGTTCATTATGGATATTATTATTCAAACATTGGAATAGTTCAATGCCACTATTCGAATACTGGAGTACTTCAATATCATTCTTTCAATATTTGAAGAGACTTCGAAGTATCTTCTTCATTCAAAGATTCAAGAATTTGAATATCATTACTCAATTCATTTATAAGGCTTTCAAGTATCTTCATTCAAACATTTGTGTACTTGAATATCGTTATTCCAATATTTAAAGAGGTCTATAAGTAACTTTATTTAAGGAATTGAGTACCACAGAGCTATTCACTAGAAAGTTTGAAAATCATTGTCATTAATCGATATCGCGTTGAATTCTCTGTTCAATTCGCTTTGAATTATTTCAAATCTTGTATACTCGTTTCGTACGCCCAGATCTTACACGGAATTGGCGAAAGGCAAATATTTGGCGTTGGCGAAATGGTCGCCCACGGAGAACGCTGTGGTTTACGTTTTGGACAATGACATTTATTACGAGAAGATCTCCGATAGACGCAATGATCCTGTACGGTTGACGAACACAGGTGTCCCAGGTATTGTTTACAATGGCGTTCCTGATTGGGTCTACGAAGGTGAGTGAAAGATCCGACGAAAAATGTTATTATACAGAGTCATTATTAGAGTTCTTATCTATCATGGCAACTGAGAGAAAAATCAGAAGAAAACTGTACATTCGATGCAAATGCATAATCTTATGATACAAGCAAATATGATAAATACGGTCAGTTCTATAAGTATTCGTACTTTGTGTCTATTGACAAAATTCCAAATTTTTGTGATATTTCAAATGTCACGTTTGATTTTAAATATGTACATGAATACACTCACACGGTGCACTCGTACGGTACATTAGTATTATTATGCGAAAGAAGGGATTAATGTCTGTCGAAGTGTGACTTAATGATCGAGACAATCGGTACACGAATATTCACAGAAGAGGTCCTGGCCTCCGCTGTCGCACTCTGGTTCTCTCCCGGTGGAGATTATCTCGCATTCGCGACCTACAATGACAGCGCAGTGAAAGACTTCACGATCCCGCATTATGGGAAGCCAGGCAGCATGGAGGATCAATACCCTATGGAGGTGAAGATCAAGTATCCCAAGGTGAGCTTAAAGAACCAACAATAGCGTATTTCGCTTTAAAAAAAATTGGTCGCTCTTCTTTCAATTTCCAAGTTGCTATATTCTTTCAAAAAGTTTGCGGCTAACTTTGTTTAAAAACAAAGTGTTAGCCTCGTATAAATTTCCGTAAGTAATTTTCTGGCAGTCAACGTGTTAATAAAAGTTCGAAATATATTCCAGCAACTTGTTCTAATCTGTTATTGTGACTTTTCAGGCGGGCAGCTCAAATCCATCAGTGTCTCTAAGCATGGTCAATTTGAGTAATCCGTCTGCCGGATTGATCAAACTCGAGGCACCAGTTGACATCATTGGCGAGTATGTATCCTAGAACCCTAAGGCATCCGCAATTATGGTTGACTTATCGTATTATCACATGACTCGCAACAGAGTGAGATACGGGTGACTTCATCTCCCTTATTAAATATCTTATTATGAGCAAGTTCTAATGACAAATAAAACGACCAGGGAAATTTTTCCATCAAGGTTCATTCAACAAAATTTAAAGTCTGAAAATGCTTCGATACCTCACGAGTAGATGAAGCTATAAAAAGAATGTTTTTACAAAAGTTATTTGGTACAAAGGGCAAATTTGTTTGCAAGTAAAGTGGTAGAGTAGGTTTAACAAAAAAAGTAATTTTTTCAAATGGAACCGTACATATTTTTATCCATAATGAAATTTTTCTAAATTTCATTCAAACAAATGCTATTTCACCATGGATAAAAATATACAGCGTTTCATTTGAACGAATTAATCTTTCAGTTAAATCTTCCCTATCACTTTACCTACAAAAAAGTTATTTATACCATACAATTTGTCCATTTATATCAAATAACTTTTGTAAAAGTATTTTTTGGTGGTTTCATCCCCTCATGAAATATTGAACCATTCCGTTTTAAATAAAACATCCTGCTGCATAATGTAATTATATCCATCCCAAACAAGTCGCTTGTATGAAATTCAAATGCTCGATGAACCTGCAAAAATTGAAATTAAACTCATACCATTTAGTCGTATAATTCGTTTCAATTAAATTAGTCCTTGCTATTTGTATAATAATGGTTTCTTTATTGTCTATCATAATACATAAATAAATAGAACTAACAGATCTATCACTAAAATAAAAGTCACTTAATTCAGCTTCGCATTCAACGATGACCCTCTCTACTCAACGTTTTCACCATCAAAGAATTCTTTCGTGTCCTACCCAACCAAACATTGAGAAGTTCAATTTCAACAGGGACTACATTCTCTACACCGTCACCTGGGCGATGAATTTCGTGGCAGCTACCTGGACGAACCGCGTACAGAACAAATCTCAGGTTGTCTACTACAGCGTCTCAGGGTTGCTCTCCGACGACGCAAAGAAGATGACGATCCCCAAGCACATGTACCAAGAAGAACACTCTGGCTGGCTACGTATCTACCCTGCAGTGTTCACCAATCGCTATGCCATCGTCCTACAGTTACAGGACTCTGGAACGAACGCTGGACGATTCATCCACGCGATGAAATTCGACTCCGACGAGAGCGGAAAGTTCCTCAGGAAGAGGGACCTGACTCCAGGCGCGGCAGAAGTCATGTCTATCGTTGCTGTGACTGAGGACAAGAATGTTTTATACTATTTGGGAACTGGAGTTGACAAACCGATGCAGAGGAACCTGTATTCGGTTCCCTTGGATGGCAGTGAGGCACCTTCTTGCCTGTCCTGCAATGTCAAAACACCTGAGGGTGAGTTCAGGGAAGGAAAGAGGGTTGTTGGTTGCTACGAGTGATTTCAGGGTGCTGGTTTAACCCTTTCAGACCCGAATTACTTTTTCTTCTCGTACTAATGTAGTTTAGTTTTTAGGGTTAATTTGGACTGAAGTTAGTATGGAAAAAATAAATAAAAATCCTAATAGTGTAGTTTTCGCTCAAAAGATATTGTCGGTCGTGTGTGTGGTAATTTTTAACCGACTTCGAAAAGGAGGAGTTTACTCAATTCGACATGTATATTTATTTATTTATTTTTTCTTTTTTGCGTCTTCAATTGTAGATGCCAGGTCTGGAAGGATTAATGTGATTAGCTTGGAGATTAAAGTATCGGGTTGTCCAAGAAATTTTGTTGATACAAGATCCATATAAAAATACGTATTTTCGAAATCTTATTTAGAAAATTACTGGCAACTCCTCTTATAATACTTTATTAACGATACTTTGTACAACATCCTCGTATTGACATTTCCCCAGGCAACAATTGCACCTATGTCTTCCCCTACTTTTCTGCGGAGAATTCGTATTACGCATTGAGTTGCATGGGGCCAGATCCAACGGTCGTGATGATCCTCGACACTAACCACAAGGTGCTGTACTCGTGGGAGGAGAATCGATCTCTGAGAAGGAGATTGGCCGATCGTAAGCAGCCACGCATCCAGAATCTCAATGTGAGGGCGAACGGGTACACCAGCAACGTTAGATTGTATTTGCCACCCGATTTTGACGAAAGGAAATCGTACCCTCTGCTGATCAACGTGTAAGTATTGAATGTACAACGAGTTTTTCAAAAGGGACTTTAGGACTTTGTTTTTCAATGAAACATAAATGGCATGGAATACATTTGATAATTTTATTTTAAATGAAAGTACACACGTACTTAGTTCACAAGGTTGTCTAAGGTGTCAAATATAAAAAGCAGTCGACAACTGTCACGTTGGAGCATACTTCCTGCGAGAATACTATAATAAACCCTCGACGCAATGCAGCCTATTACCGCTCATCGATAACGTTCGAAAGGCATTCATTCGACTCTTCGACTTCCCTCGATAACTCAAGTACAAAATTCGTGCCAGCAAAACCGTGCAACCTCTCAATGCCTCTACTTAATCCCAAGACTCGTATTCAAGCTGCCAGCGTGTCAGATGGGTGCAGGCACCCGACAGCGGTCGTTGTGCCACTAGGCTGACGCCTAGCCTGATTGATCAGCAAGCAAAAAGAATCATGATCTGAATTTAAAATTACAGCCTCGGGATACGTTCGGGATCGAAACGTTGTTCGATAGATGCTTCCTTCATCTCTTTACCTTCTTTTAATCCTGTTAAAACATTTCAAAAGCTGTGTTATAGTATTATTTCTGAGGAATAATTTCTATATTGTATACTATCGCTCAGTTTTTGAATTGTTTCAAAGGCTTATTTCACTGGTGATCAAGATATAAATTTTAATGCATCATTTAAATTTTCAAAGTTAGTATTATTTATATCGAAGCAAGTTCTCGAACCGTCTTTCCAGGTACTCTGGTCCCAACACCGTCAGGATCACCGAGGCGAACTCGCACGGTTTCGAGTCCTACATGACGACCAACAGGAGCGTCATTTATGGTCACATCGACGGTCGTGGGTCCGCCTTCAAGGGCAGCAAGATGCTGTTCGAGATCTACCGACGCATGGGAACCGTAGAAATCGAAGACCAAATCGCCGTCACTCGGTAGGGGGATCGTCGTTTTCGTGAATTTGCTGTTATGGGATTATTCCATAATTATATTCTATATAGTGTAAATTTAGTCTTACTTTCAAATTATACTTAGCCTCGAGACTTTCGCCAACTAGAAACTTTATTCTTTAATTCGACAATTTTCTCCAGTGTTATTTTCTGTAATCACCCTTGGTACTTGTTGATAAACAGGTCATTGCAAGAGAAATATTCCTGGATCGATCGAAATAGAACCGCGATATGGGGCTGGAGCTACGGCGGTTTTGCCACGGCCATGACGTTAGCCACTGACGTGGATTCCGTTTTCAAGTGTGGCATATCCGTTGCACCTGTGACATCCTGGATTTATTATGGTAATTTTCTTACAGTATGAATAGCAGTACATGGTAATTGTGGCAATTGGTTATGGTATAACTTCCGTTTGTCATTGCTGCTCGTTTAACATTCATTACCACGCGTGAATTGGTCAGTAAGAAGATTCCATATTTGTCATGGTATTTAAAGCAGTTTCTGATATCGTTTTCGAGTATTAATGGGTAAGGCGAGTACTCTGCGGATATTGTACATTATGTTGTCAAGACTTGGCCGTTACATTTATCAATACAGTGTTCTACATTATCAGCAACTTGTCTTACTAACAGAGTATTCAATATCACCAGCAGAGTAACCTGTTTTATCAACGGATCGTTCTACATTACCACCAAAGTAATCTGACTTATCAATCCAGTGCTCTATATTACCGAGTCGTGACGAAAGAGTTACTCTAGCCTACAGAGAGTTTACTTCCTCCTCTTCCTTTTCTGTTCTCTCTTTCACGATAAAGCCTTAACTTTAATTAAAAGCAATGACTTTTCTGTTCTTCGCAACCAACAAGTATGACTCCTCGAGAAAATCACAGCTTTGGAAGCATCTGTCTCAAATTAATCTCTCTACATATTCGAGTATAATTCCTGCTTAACCGAAAACACCTTCTTCAATTCCATTTCTAATGAATTGCAGACTCCATCTACACCGAGCGATTCATGGGTCTGCCAACCCCAGAGGACAACCTCGAGGGCTACAATGGCACAGACGTTACCAGAAAGGTTGAGGGTATCCGTGGCAAGAAGTTCATGCTGATACACGGTACCGAGGACGACAACGTGCACTACCAGCAGACCATGGCCTTGAACAAAGCCCTGGTGCACGAAGACATAATGTTCCAGCTCCAGAGTTACACGGACGAGGCTCACGGGCTAACCGGGGTATCTCCTCACCTTTACCACACCATGGACCGATTTTGGAGCAATTGCTTCGGCGACTCGCGTGCTCACTGACCCGAATCCCTTCCGGATCACCAACCAGGAAAACGTCGGTTTGGTCGATTGTCTTCCTGAAACCACCGATGTGATTCCGTGGGCGTCGCTCGATCGGCGACCAGCTAATCCGTGAATCAGCTACTAGTTTCGTTCCTTGTCGTTCGAACGACCACCTTAAATCATTCGGTGGCACCGGCGGGATCGATTTTAACACCGTCGATATGTAGAACAAAGACGGAGGTCGTCGATCCTGCCTTTCCGTTGTTCCTAGTCGATTCTTCGACGAAAACGTGGGGGTAATTGAGGTTTTGCTCTTCGGAAACGGTACTAGGTTCGTTGGAATGTAAACGAGATATTTTTATAGAATTTTTTGGAGAGTATAAGTAAGGGTACTTGGAAAACTTGATTATTTTTAGAGGTAGGAAAGAATGATAAAATTTTAATAATTGCTTCATGTATGACTTTTTTGGGGTAGTGAAACATGATGATCTTCATCGACTATGCATTTTAGTTATCGGCATTTCAGTTATCGAGCTGTTGGTTCACTTCAGGGTATAATTTTAAAAATAATATTCTATATCTACATTAAAGTCTCGTTTATATTGTAGCCTTACTGGTATTCGGGCTGAAGAAATGAGATTTGTTGGAAGGAAGAGTTTAAATGCAAACGAACATCGGATAGATCGTTGTATCCCTTTGAAGATCGATTGTTTTTTGAACGCGTGATCGATTGTACATGTTCATCGTTGATGTACGGAGCAACGTAAATTTTTTAAAAGCGGTGACATTCCAAGGGAATCGATATTCGAGGGTGTTCGATGGATTCAGCGACAGTGAAGTTGGTGGAAGATGGATTGCACCGAAGATGGAAGTAAGAGGTGCTTTCATGGTGATCTTTAGACTGTTTCTCTGAACTTTTTCCAAATAAAATTGGAAGTTCAGTGACCAAATTGGAACATTCATTAGAATATTCAAAGAAGGACGTGTACTCTGCCAAACAGATATAAAATTAGAACTTTAAAGTTTTGAATAGTACATAAGATCATAATTAAAAGAAAATTATTCAATTCTGTATGAAGATTTCTACTGCTAACAAAATTCCCTCTCTGGAACAGATGGTTCTCTAACATAAAACGTAGTTTATATATACATTTATAATATTCAAATAAATCAATTTTAATTCGTAGTTAAACAGAAAATAAGTACAACAATTATACATTACCATTATACACTTTATTATTTTATATATTCTATACATATTGAATTATTATATTTATGTAGTTTTCTCATAAAATTACATTGACTTATTTAAAAACTATAATGTATATGTATAATTGCCTGGAAAAATTGTAAAGTTTTGTATGAAACATGTAAAGAGTATGAAGTTTCCAAATAAAATGACCACCACAATCTATTTTATGAAATATTCAGTCAAATACGTTTTTATGACAATCGAAGAGGTCCAATACAATAAGGTCTTAAACGTATTAATAGATCGAATACTTGGAAAGACCACGAATTTGAAAATCGACAACTCGTCGCTCAATTCAAATTCGAGCGTTTATATAAAATATTTGAAGAACAAGACGAAAGTGGACCGCAGAACGGACATTTAATCAACGCTCTGCAGTATTTTATCCACTGCACAATTATTCATACAGAAATGTTCCGCGTTGGATGGTTTCATTTACGTCGAAAAAAAAAAGTGGATGGCTAAAGAGCATATTTCACGATCGCTGATTCGAGATTCCTCTTTGTTATATTTTCCCGCGAGCGACGCTTGGCAGCGTTTTCTGGTCGAATTGAGTTAACGCCGAGACAGAAATATAAAATGCGTTACCTGTAGAGCGTCCTACGAACGTAGCCCTAGCTGCAAATTCAATAATTCTGAAACTAATATTTTTCGTCCATTTGCAGCAACTAATCTATTCTCGTAAATAATACAGAGCGTATATCTGCGTTAACTGCTATTCTTTTTCATTAAATTGCATTTTTCGATCGGTCATACGACAGAATAAATCAGATTTTTCATTGAATTGCTGAATTTAATTCTTTAATTGCAGTTTTGTATCGCATTTCTGTATTAAATTCTTATTCGTGAGCACCTTCAAAAACTAAAATAGGCCCACAGGAAATCTCCTAACATTTCTACTTGAACGATAAATCGAAGAGTTTATGTTACAGTAGCACTCCGCTAAAGTTGTGTAATTTAATTCAGCGCTTCGTTACGTTGAAAATTAGGTGACTTTTGTGCACGGTGAAACTATGAACCGCGAAATATCAACTTCATCGCTGAACGCGTGATTTATGAGTAATTATTCAGGTAAGCGAACGAGCAATAACCGCGGTAAAAAACCAACGAGCAGAAAGTATCATAAATGTCAGAACAGTGTGGGGCAAAGTGCGTACAATGATGCGTTCCGCTCGAATCGTGGAAGGAATAAAAATACAGAGAGACAAACGTTCCCTTCCTTTGGTAACCGAATCGATTGCATCTCGTGGCAGCACTCGACGAATTAATCGACGATTCGCACGAGTAGTTGCGCTGGATTTGTTGTTTTCACGCACGAATTTCAAGCACAACACGCTTCTCGACTCTGTGACCTAAAATACTTTATTCCGTCTCACTTCGTTCCTCTGTTACGTTTGTTTCCATACCTGCGGTTCTTTCCTACCCTCTCACCCTCTCCCACGCTTTTTCAGTATTTCTCCGAGGCACTACTGTGTCTTCTAACCGCTCTTCCGTTCGCTTTTTCCTGTTCAATCGTTTGTTTCCATCTTTACGTGTATCGTTTCCTGCAATTTATCTCTTCTTTTGCTTTAACTTTGTTCCACTGCTCTGTGTCTTCCCTAGACCATCGCCATATGCTTTTTCCGCCATATTTCATTTTTGTCCCTTTTAACCGATTATCCAGGCCGCGGAAAATGTTTTATGCCTTCAGTTTTGTTAACTGTTTACGAAATGGTGACGGAAATTTGAATATATTCGCGTCAGTCGGATAGTCGTTTAACATGAAATGTAGTTTCATTCTTTAATTCCAATAATTTTGTTCGAACCATCCTGTATCGTCTACCATTATTAACGCTAAGTTTACGGAGATTTCTCACCATATTTCTAAATATTACTGAAGTGATGTCTTTCTGAGCGAAGTCGATTTACTAGAATTAATTAGGACGTTTAGACAAAAATGAATTTGGACGTACGCTTATTTCTTAACGCGATAAAAGTTAGCTTAAATGGTTGTCAACAAATGTAAACGGTTTCTGTAATTGTCCTGAAATTCAGGATGGTTCAAAACGACCTAGCAAACCCAGCGTTAAAAATGAATAACTAAACGTTCACTACAATTACTAAGCCTTACAATTGGCTGCATTTTCAATTTACACCAAACAGTTCCGGACGTAGAAGAAAATAGACCAGAAACCTGGCACGAAGTTACGTGCCAAGTATCAAGAAGTAAAGACATCCATGACAAAGTTCGCCCCTTTCCCGCTCGCCGAGGCCAATTCCATCGGTCCCTCCGGTCAAAGGGACTTTTGTGAAATTTAATCAGTTGGGCACGTATCGTTCCTCGCGTCACAACGCCCGAAGAACTTCCCTGGAGGGGGTTGGGGATTGAACACCCGCCTCTCTACAGTAGCTACGGGCTCGGTGACCTGGAATCCTGATTCGCCAGTCAGCGGGAAGAAAAATTCGGCGGATGAGGAACAGGGGCGTTACACCCTGAAAAGTTTCCCCTCGCAACGGCGTTTCCCTTGCGTCGCGCTGCGGTAATGGTTGACGAGCCACCGCAAGGGGTTGTGGACGGGGTTAAATGAATATCGGTCGTTCGCGGTGACGGTGGCGGTGGTGGGTATTCGTGGCGAGATTTTGGGGACACATCTCGGTGAGTGCTGTTCCTGGTAGGTGATGGAACCACTCGATGACCTTCAACCTCGAAGGGTGCAAGGGCTGCCGCGAGGGGTTTGAAAACAGAGAGATTAATAGATTGAGTAACACGTTGGCTATTAACCCTTTGACTGCGAAGGGCGTATATACGTATACGTCCTTGAGAAATCAATTTTTTAAAAATATTTTTTTATGGGTGATGATCAGACGAGACTTTTTTATATTTACAGTTTATTCGTAGGACGCTCAGTTTTGAAAATAAAAATTGAAAAGCTTGAAGTTGGTTGCAGAAACTGAATTTCAGGAGAAAGGTCTTTGAAGTTTTCACTTTTTATCCTTGAAACTAAACGTCGTAGGAATAACCTGTAAATATAAAGAAGTTTCATGTTGTCATTTTCCATAAGGTGATATTTTTTTTTAATTCTTTAAGACAATAGCAACAGGATCAGATCACTACGAGAATTCAGGAAAAAGGTCTTTTGAATTTTAGATTTTTATTTTCGAAATGAAACGTCCTATGAATAAACTATGAATACAAAAATGTTTGCAGTCCAGTAATCACTTAGCCTAACTTAATACCGCGTGTATCGCGATGGCTGATGTCTTTATCGCAGGCCAACATCAACCACCCACGCGAGGATATCCGTTTCCCTGCGAACTGGGCTAAGGCCTCGCTCGGCATCGTGTATGCATATCCCAGTCGCTTAAACGCCGCTTTAACAACCGAAGAACATCGCGAAGGACTACTTGGCACGCGAACCTAAGCGTCCAGGGTGAATTGTAGCGGAAGAATTGCTCTTCAAACGGATCGAGACCGTCCCAAAAATTGTTTGTCGAGTGTCCAAGACGAATGGGCAATTCAAAGCGACCGGATAGGCAGAGTCGCCTACTCGAAACAATCGGATAAATGTCGACGCAGAGGCTAACTACGGAGAAACAGTTCTTTGATGGATATAAATGGCTGCGGATTATGCTACTGTGCCTCGAGGTTGCCTCAGTGATTTCGGGACAGGCGAACTTTTACGAAACTACTTTTTACGAAATACAATTCCCTCATGTATATATCATTTAATGTAAAACTGTAATATTTCTATATATTTCTGTGGCGTAACCTTCTCGATGCTCGACAACAACGCTATCCTCGCATTTTTCGACGGAGAAGGCAATATTATCGGATGGATATTTGGATTTTTGATGAAAAAGTACATAGAAAAGGTGAGGTTAAAGTCTTCCTGGAATTACAGGGATATTCTACTTGCAGTTCTGTTTGGAAATTGTATTATTAGTGGCACGTCTCTAATTCTTTTCTGTCGAACTCAATACCTCGTGACTAATTAAAATCTATTATCTATGTTAAAAAACCCCGCCACTATTAAAATATTAATAAATTAATACCAGATGCGTGAGCGAAGTTAATTTCTTGATACGAATACATAAAAATGTGTCCTGTACCAGCATTGTAGCAATAATACCATCCATTGCTCTTATGTAACAAAATCCTACACGATGAAAAGATGCACTTGTGCAGAACGAAATATTAATATTAGTATATTTATCAATAGAATACATTCTGTACATTTTTTGTATGTTTTACATACTAGCATGTGCCATAAGTGCATAAAATCCGCAGTCTTTTCCTTAAGGCGTCTTAAACAAAAAAATCTTCCACCACTTTGAAAAATATTGTTGCTGGAAT